CTTCTTTTGCACCCCTACTGAGTAGTTTTTAGTCTTAATTAAACTCGTTTTCTAGTTCTCCTTCTCTTATGTGCATGAGTGTTTTGCTTGCTTGTATTCATGTGCATCGTGTGGCTGCCTTGTGTCCGTGGAGGTCAGAGGAGGGAATTGAGTCCCTGGAGAACAGGAGAGATAGATGGTTGTGAGCAGCCAGGTAGGTGATTGGAATGAACCTGGGTTCTCTGCAAGCGTGGGAGGTGTTCTTAACCACCGAACCATTTCTCTGGCTAATGGTTTATCTTCCACAGGGCTTCCTCAAGTAGATGGGGGGGGGGGGGGGGGGCCATCTGTTCCCGTAGAGGACACCAAAAAGCTAACCCAGTGACATGCAGACTAGTCCAAAAGCAAAATACAAACAAAACAATGAACCAACCTTGGATGAACTCAGGGTATATCGAGATGCCACTCAGCAACTGCTGAAGAATGCTCTGTAAATCAGGAGAGATGCCCCAGAACAGGGAAATTCTAGCAGATGCCTAAAATCTTACGGAGCCTTTTTGTTGCCCAAGGCTTTGGCTGTTCGTCCAGCATCTTTGTTGGTACAGTGGAAGAGTGCCTGGTCAGGTGAGATGGAGGAGCAGCCCCCACAGGTGGTCAGAGGGGAATGTGTGCCTGCTGTGGGTTCGACCCATGCTTCTCATGATGATGGGAAGAACCACAGAGGCATGGTGTCTGGCTACTTCCAAGCAAGCCCTTGGGGGCACATTTGGCATACTTTTTTTTGTCCTCTGCAGGCCCATTAGCTTGATGTGGCTGTCCCCATTTAACAGGCGGCATGTTGCAGGGCGAATTCAGGGCCCACCGTAATTTTAGAAGCATGAAAACACATCACAGGATCAAGGACACACTTCCCTGGCTTGTGGGCTGGGGGGTTAGTACTTGGCTGCCCTCTGGAGCACAGATGCCTCTTTGTTACACAGCTCTTCGCAGCCAGCCAAAATGCACGGGTATGACAGCCTGCCTGTGGTTATTTCTGCACCCTGGGCATTGTTCTCAGAACTTTGTGTGAATTTAATCCTCGGAAAACATCGGTCCTGTGACTCTGATGGCACCTGGTTGATGGATGGGGAAACCGAGTCTCAGATCAATGCTTCAGCTTATCCAGGGCCACACAGCAGCCTTGGTGTCAACCAAGACTCCAGAGCAAAGCTCTTGGACACAGTGTCTTTCTGCCTCTGAGCTAAGGACAGCTGGGGAAGGGATGGCAGCATGGGAGGACAGTCATAGGGTCCACGTGGGTTAGAGGCTTTGGTCGCCCTCAGGAGCTGTTGTCCAGATGGCTCATCACTTCCTTTTGGCATCAGTCTCTGTCACCTTCTGTTGCTTTCTCAGACCACCCTAGTTGTGAAGGACAGAGACCATTAAGCAGCCCCAGGATGGGGCAAGGTGCAGCTCTGCCATCCCACCGCAGCCCTGGGAGTGACCAAGGCCTGAGACAGAGTCTTGGTAGGGTGAATCTCATATGCTTGGTCACAGGGCAGGCAGGCAGCGGCACATGTCTGTGAGGGCTGGTGAATCTCATATGCTTGGTCACAGG